CCCCCCCCCCCCCCCCCCCCCACAAGCAACCCAGCAGCGCGGTGATAACTGGCCAGCTAGGAGCTCTTTTAGATTTGGACGGAAGTCCCTACAGGCTCCTAGAGCCACAGCTAAGAGTGTTGGGTTGTTGGGGACAAGGAATGGACAGCCAGCAGGTCAGATGGAAGGAGCGAGAGCTGCGGAGTGAGGCCGGCCCTGACAGGGCCCTAACTGCTAGAGTTGTTGCCACAGCAGCAGAGACACAGAGCAGGGTCACGTGCTCGGTATTTATCAGCTTGTGGCAACTCCCGGCAAGCCCAGGAGGGACCTCACCACCACCACCACCACCACCACCACCTGACAGAGCCATGTGGATGGAGCCTGACTCTAAGACATCACCTTACTGTCGGCTCTGTGTGACCCACTGGAACTCACTTTACAGACTTTTAGCTTCTGTTGTACCAGAAACGCCAGGAGACTTTCTGAGGGGACCCTGACAGCAGCCCACTGCTTAGGAAGGCCCTGACAGCTGGCGCTCAGACAGGACAGGCTGGCTCCAGGGGAGGCCCCTTGCAGACCCAGGTGTGGTGCACATCTGGCAGGCGGCAGAGGGTTGGCCTCTCAGTTTTGTCGGCCTCTGTTTCTGCGCATGTCACATGGCAGCGCCGCTGAACAGTGCTTTTATCTCTGAAATAAAGCTTCTGATGGTACTGTCACTGCAAATGCAGTCATGTATCACTAAATGTGGGAACTTCTGAGAAATGTGTCCCTAATGATGACAGGTAATCCTGTCATCTTGCAAATATTAGCGTGCTCACACAAACCGAGAGGTAAGGTGTCTAGCTCACCTACACAATGTGGTGTACGCAACAACATACCCACGGTCTGATGTTCAATTAGTCCTTGTATGTCGCATGATTCAGTCACCCTTTTTGTCACAAAACCATTATTTCTGTACTTTGCAATCTATTTTGAATAAATTCTTAAAAGTCCATGAGTCAAAATGCTATCTTTCATTCTTCACACTGTACCTATTTTTCAAGGTCCACTTCAAAGCATATTTTTTTCCATGAACTTTCATTACCCTGAGAAGTCACCAGCTACATCTATAAAGTTCTTTTTGTATGCACAATACAATCATTCCTGCCTGGTATTTCTTAAGATATTATGTGCTAATAGGTCTTACTTGAATTAGTATTTCTGCCTCAAATGTCATCAGGTTTATCAAGTTCGATCTGGTAAAAACAAGAAAAGGGTTCCCTTTGTCCCACAGCTGACACTTATTTTCATCCCTGTTAAACACCACCCAAGCACTCATTTCCGTTCACAGCTACAAAGTTAACATGGACTGTGGATTTAGGATTTAGGACCATCTGCAGGAGATGTGGTGGGGGCAGGAGATGGGGGGTTGCTTCTGGAGCTCCAGAGTCCCAGAACACCCTGGGGCGAGGGTAAAGGAATCTGGAAAGTGTTACCTTCCTAGCAGGCCCGACAGCCTGACAAATCCCAACTTCAGCCCAGGGCACCCTGCAGTCACCTGCACTGGAAGCCCTTCTTGAAGGCAAAGGGTTCCAGGTAAGGGTGGTTCTTCCCAGAGATGGGAGCACAATGTTCTCACAAGGAGTAAAACATCCTTTAATTCCAAAAGGCCCATACAGTTTTTAGAGTGGCTAAGACATCACGCAAATGGACAAAAAAGGCTTAAACTAATGTTTAAACATTACTTGGATTTAACTTTTTTGGGGTTGTTGTTTTTCCTTAAGAAGCACCACAAATACATGGATGATCTAGCAAATGTTCAGGGCTTTGTCATTCTTTTTTTTTTTTTTTAGGGACAGGGCCTCACTATGTAGCCCAGGTTGGCCTCGAACTCACCAGGCTCCTCCTGCCTCAGCCTCCCCAGCGCTGGGATCATAGGCCAGGCAGTGTATGCCACCAAGCCTGGTGGCTTTGCCATTCTTTCACGGAGCTGATGGAATGAATCTTCCTTTGAAATCACCACACCTATCTCTTAGTAGAGGAAGGTAAAGGTCCTCTCTTACACCAAGCAGTTTTAAGGGTACATGATGAAAACAAATGGGAGCTGGTAAATTTTTACCTCAGTGGAATTAGGATAAGGCTGATAAGACATTTAACCAGGTTCCACCAGTTTGACTAATAAAGCTCTTCCACTGATTCCAGTGCACTGCGTAGTAGCAATGCTTAAAAACTCCGGGAGGTGGACTTCTTTGCAGGCCTCTGTCAAGCCCTGTCTGGCTCTGACCTCCCATGTGTCTCTGCTCTTGGCAGGGTGCAGCTCTCCCTCCTTCCTAAAATTCTCTTCAATTGCTTTTTGGCCTTTAGGCTAAGGTCAACTATAAAACACACTTCAACCTTGGGCAGGAGGAAGTTGGAGACTGTGGCTTGGCTCTTTGCTGCAGGGCCTGCCTGCTCTTGCTAGACCTTTTCCTTCCAGCCCGAGTGACTCACGTCTGGGTGGGTCATCAATAAGGGCTCAATGCCATGCTCCCTGCTGCGCTCCCATCTTTCCTGTGGGGTCCCGAGGCAGACTCTGAACACTGACACAGAGCTTCTAAAACCGTTATCAACAACCCAGGTAGTCAGGGAATGAAACCCTTTGACCACAGCTCCTGAAGGTTTTCTCTGATGCAGTCTTCCTGCCATTCTGAGCATCGCCGTAAACATTCACTTGCTGTGCTCTGGCACCTCTGGCACGTGCCACAGCTGCACTGAGTGGGACACATCTCTCACTTAGGAGGTATCCAGAGCCTGCCCGTAACAGAGCACTTCCTACTACCTGCATCTTGAGTGGTTATCTATCCCACCCCTGCAGGTGGGCTTTAAGCCCAGGCCCGTGCCTCCTCCAGGCTGCCCTACCGAGACGCAAATAACCCAACCTGGCTCTGCACTTTCTAACAGAAAAGCACGGCTTAAGTCTCCATTGTGTGACACTGGTCCCTCGGCCCCCCACTTCTGCTCATACAGGGACAGCCACAGCAAGCTGCATGAGTTAGTATCAAAAATAATAAGTGCACATTTTTTTAATTCACATTTAGACACAGATTCAGGATACAAGCAACATTTCCCACTGGTCCTAAAATGTGACCTGTAGGACTCTTGTCACTATTCTGAACAACCAAGCTCTCTGGTCACTAACTTTAAATGCATGCCCAGCAATGTAAGGTTATTAGGACTCTCCACAGTAGAAGAAAAAGACATCCATTTGAATGAAATCCACTATTCACATGGTCTACATTTCCTGCTTTGTTAAATGGCTGTTTTCAAAGAAGCGTCTGGCTTGCCCCACCTCGCTGCAGCAGGCCGCCTGTACACCCACCGCCAGCGTTATTGACCGTGCTGACCTTGAAACACTGTGCCCAGCACACGCGTGGCCCAAGCCCACAGTCCCAAACACTCTCAAATGCACAGTAATTATAAGCCCCCGACTTTCTAAGTATGAAAGAGAAAGACAGTGTCAATAACTAAAAAGAGCCCCATGAACTTATGCAACAATTAGAAGTCTAGAAGTTGACAAGTACAGAGGCCTCTCCCAACTCTGATCTAAAACAGAGGTCGGTGAAAATCCTCCTAGTTGACATCTGAGTATTTGCTATAGACACTACTACTCTGTTTCTAAAAACAAATCACAAGGTAACACATTTCTATGGATAGTAATCTACTACAAACTTATTTCAGAGGAAGCCTGAATATCTAGTTCATATGTATATATTACCAGGGAACAGACCTAGTGGTGCTCTACACTGAACTGTATTCCCAGCCCTTTTTATGAGATAGGGTCTTGCTAAGTTGCCCACCACGCTAGGCTTGAATTTGTGATCCTCCTGTCTCAGCTTTCTGAAAATAGGAGTTTGAGGTGTGCATCATTGCACCTGGCTAAAGCCACTGTTTCTAAAACAGGAAAAACAAACAAACAAACAAACAAACAAGTAAATGAATGAACGCTAGATATTGCAAAGCTTACCTGGTGCTGGCTGTCGTTCATTCCATTCAGTTGAGATTAAAATTTCTATAACTTTTATGAGGTTTTCAGTACTATCAGAGCTGCAAGAGAGAAGGTCGTGTTAGAAATAGTACACCTAAAAAATCAAGCGCAATTTTATTTATATATAATCCAGTGAAGTGTATAAGTTTGGACATACATATTCTTAATCTGCATAATCATATTCTAATTTGCTAACTATGAAGCTGAAAATAAGCTTAATCCCAATCCACTTAGCGTGACCATCAGCACCCAAAACACACATTTATTTCACTCACCTGGCTGCTGGAAACCTGAAAAGCACAGGGCTGAAAATTTCAGCAAGTACTCTTGCGCTCAAAAGATTCTTGCTGGAAGATTGAGAGAGCTTGAAGAAATGTTTTAGCAAATACTGAAGCGTAAGCCAATACTGGTGAGGTATGGTAGGCGACCTAATGAGCTTCTTCAAGAGTTGGACGTACTCCTCGGAACTTTGTACTTCTACAAGTCAAAAGGAAGAACAAAAGAGTAAGGCCGCATCTGGTGTCAGTGCACACACACACCTACACCGTCTGTTCTTTACTCTAGGTACCGAGCGAGTCACTCACGTCTTCAGGAGAGGTGCACGGGACATCTGTCCTTCTCATTAGAGAATGCATTGTGCGAAAGTAAAAATCTCAAAGCAAATGCAAGAACTCTTTGTGTTTAAAAAAAAAGAAATAACAACTACAAGATGTCAGGGTGTGCTGGTAGAAAATCTGCCCTCTACAGAGCAGCTTCATGTGTGATTGGCTAATTCTGAGGAGCATCAGATAAGTATCGCAGGTCTAATTTTGAAAGTTATGAACCACAACTTCCTGTCCCCAAAGCAGTGAACCTCACCTCACCTCCCCCAACACATTGTATTGTGGGCACGTGGGGAGGGGGGTGGTTGCGAGAACAGCCCAGTCGCTGGACCCTAAGCCTGGGTCCTGCACCTAACACTAGCACCGGGAACACCATGCCCTTCACAGACGTAGTGACCTCTGTCAATACTGATCAAAGGTTAACGATCAGCCGGTGCAACTCGTGGACAGGCTTCTAAGCAAATGGGAATTGGATTCTCTGAAAAGGGAGGGATTTTGGGGTGGTGGTGAGGGGGAGGGACAGCTTCCTAGTACTTCCTAAATATTATGTCTCTGTATGCCACACTGCATAGTCTATAGTCATATCCCCATCTTGAAATTATGTGCAGTGAGGTTATCAGAAGAGAAAACAGACCTTGGGCTAAAGAAAGCATTTCACTGTAAACGGCTACTGGAATGACAGGATTTGGTAAGTCCAGGAGATAGCGTTTAAAAGCATCTGCTAAAACTTGCACATCAACCATTTCTAAGTCCACCGAGGCAGCATCTAGGAAAGAAACATTTGAAGAAATATTTCAGACATTTATTTTATAACTCAGGTCAATTTTCAAATGTAGGACTTAAATGTGAAACAGGAAAGACAGCAAACTAAGGACAAGCATAAGCCAAAGGAAATTTATTAGGAGTGCTTCCCATTGGGTTTCTCCCCAAATTCCAAGTAGAAATTTTTTCTTTGTGTAGGTATGTGCCACACACTGCCAACATTAGCATTCTCAGCTCCTGACCTGCGACACCATTAGTATAGTCCCAGACTTTGGGGCAACAAAGCATCATGGACCTGTTATGGGTAAATTATGCCTCAGCCGAATTTATATGTTGAAGCCTGGAGACCTGATCCCTCCGAAGGTGATTATATTTGCAAAGAAGGCCCTTAAAATTGACAGGTCAAAATGAGGCTGTTAGAGTGGGCCCTACTCCAATCTGACTGGTGTCTTTGTACGAAGTGGAGATGACAGGGACACCAGAGATGTCTGCACAGAGGAGGGACCATATGAGGACACAGGGACAGGTCACCATCTGGAAGTCCAGGAGCCCTCAGAAGGAAGCAAATGCACCTGTTTCTTCTCTGAGACACCCAGGCCCTTGAACTGTGAGAATACATTTCTGTTTTGCAAGCCACCTACTGGGTAGAATGCCACCACATTCCCGAAGCTGCTGGAGTGGAGTCCTAACCTGACTGAGAAGCGTCCTACATGGCAAGTGTTTTCTACAACCACGGCAGGAAGATGAGCAATGCAAATTTTCCTGCTTCCTTCAACTTGCTTTGCTAAACAGGTTATATTTACATTTATTCTGACATGGACTAACAGAGTGATAGATTAAATGCTAAGATACTACAAAATTTTTAGACTGAGATTTCAGGTTGAAGAATGCCCATAAAAAGAGCCTGAACAGTATCTGGATGCGGCCTCCCAATGCTGAGGTGGACTAATCTAACCTGTGGGCATCAGCCCATGGCAGGAGATAAGATAGACACATCTATTCAGTAAATCCCATGGCTGGAAAAGAGGTTGAGTGAGTCCATAAGGAGGTGATACCAATCAGAGCCACTCTGCATGCCCATCATGTAGGCCCCAAGTCTGCAGATGGAAAAAGGCACTGTGCCCAGGAGGGGCAGGGATGTTGGCACAGGAATGGCCACCGACATCTAGAAACCAGGGGACGCCCACTGAGGACTGGAAGGCGACAGGAGGAGTGAGGCAGGGACCTGCGTACGCAATGGAGAAAGGGGGCTGGTGGGCAAAACACTGCCTCTTTATACAACTTTATTAATCGCAGGGTTAAAGGGGCAAAATGGAAAGGAATGCAACTGGGAGCCAAGATCCACGATGTGCTAATGTGCTGAGAAATGAACGGTATCAAGAAATAACATAGGGCCAGCAAGATAGCTCAGCGGTCTAAAGCGCCTGCTTAGGCAAGCTTAGGTGGGTGCAGGGGACCGTGGTTCAATCCCTGGCACCACATTCCATGTAGCTTGGTGATCAACTGGATTGGCTAACAGTCTAAGAGAGAAAGAGAAAGCACCCAGGTTACTCTAGGGTATTTGAACAACAGTGACTGCAAAGACACTGGACACTGGAACTATGGGCGATATTACTATAAATTACTCTACTTTTATTTTTTTGTATTTTTAGGGAAGGGTCTACAGGGTGTTCAGGGGCTCACTACTAGATCAGACTCTTAGTGATTCACTTGCTGACAGCCTCCCAAGAGCCAGGATTACAGGCGCACAACACCACATCCAGTCTCAATTGCTGTCTCAGTGCGCCCCGGGGGCAGGACTAGCATGGCAAGCAAGGGGACTGAACCCCGATCCCTGCACCTGTTTGCAGGCACTTTAACCTGCTCAGCTATTTTGTCGGCCCTTAAATTACTCTAAGTTGAGCAAAGGCTACAAAATTTTTCCAGATGCATCATTCCTATGAGCCAGGGGTGCTAAACCTATGGCATGTGTGTTATTTGTTTTACTTTTAAGACAAAAGATGTTAATGTCTGAGTTATTTTTCCTCAACTAAAGCCTGAGTATTCAGGTTTAACTGTAGTGTCAGCACTCTGTGATAAATAAGTGGACTTGGGGTTGTAGTTTGGGGACTCTTCTCTGCAGGATTTGCCGTCCCTGCTATAAACCAAACTAAGTAGGTAAATGCTATGAAAGATGGCCACACAACACTACAATCTTAAGAAAAGTCATCCTAATATACAGCATGGGTAGGAAAAAAAAAAAGTATTAATCATAAAGGTGAAGAAACAAAGTGCTATGCCTCTTAAATTGCCTACAAAACTTAACCAGAGGCATATATCACATCTCTAACAAGCGCAAGAAAGGCAATACTAGGTCATTGGACAAAGGATCTAGGTTGGAAGTGTGCAGTTACTGGTATAATTAAGTATGGTCGAGTAAAATGGCACAAGTGCCACCACAGTAACACCCCACACCCACTGGCTCTTTGGCAAGCTACTGGTCCCCTGTATACTCTGGCCGTGTATGCTTCATTGAATGTGTCTTTGCTCACCTAATTCATATCACTGAATTTGCACATCCTGAAAAATGTGTTAAGCTACCTGCAACGGTATCTCAACATGAATATGCTGAATAGCCACGTGTCCCTCTCACGCAGGGTCCCCTCTGTCCCTCTGCGCTTTGGCACTGCTCATGAGTGGGCCCGGCATCATGACCCTGGCACACCGGACAGCAGTTCTGTGGGGCTGTGTGTCCGCACCACGCAGGGAGCCTCAGAGCAGGGCTGTGGCTGCCCCCGGCTCTTCCTGCATCCCTCAGGGCTTGGCACACAGAGTGAGGTAAAGATTTGTGGACTGCACAATAAAGCCCTCAGGGTGAAGTTCACAAATGTTCTTCTCTGTAACCAGGCATGTATCCCAGCAATTGCAGTATTCCACCAAAGAGCCTCACGTTAAAATTAGCCTGACAGGCTCTCCTGACAGCTGCTGAAGGCTGCCATAGGGTGACCTCTGAGGAGCTGTACCTCCTTTAAGTCTGGGTTGGCAGACTTGCCGGTCTTTGCTACCTCACTTTTCACTGTACTCTCTTGATTGGTAAACCCATCACTCCTGCCACTGGGAAGGCATCCCTGCCTGCCTAGTCTCTCTGAGGCAGTGGACCCCACTGGGAGTGTGGGTGGACAGTGGGAAACATCCAGTAATGTCTATAGACACACAGTCCTGACTGTCCCAGCCTGGGGAAGATGCTTCTGGCACCTAGCAGAGAAAGCTGAGTCTGTAGGGAAGAAACTACCATGTAATGACAGTTGCCTACTCTTCTAACAAAGCTTTATCCAGCCTAACATGTCAATAGCTCTGAGAGAGTACTGACTTAGGAGACACCGAATAGTATTAGAAGAAAATCTGTACCATTAAAACTTAGACAAGATGTGAAAGAAAGAATTCACTTTAGGGCAAAAGTTTTTAAAAAGAGAAAAGACTTTTGTATCAGAACACTCTGGACCCAGGCTTTGACACTAAGCCACTAGAAAATGTTTATTTACTTGAAGGTCAGCTTCCTTTTCTGGGGAGTTAGAATAACTAACACTTATGTACAAAGTTAATATGCAGATGAAATAAGCAGCAAATGTTATAAGTACAGTATTTTTTGTTCCTCATATCTACCCGTTGCAGACACTAGAAATGCACAAGGTTGTTTAAAAGTCATGATTTGATTTTCTTCCCCCAAGTGTAAGTGACCTGTTTTGCAGTTTCTTGCATGCTAGTATAAAACAGGTACTGAACAATCTTCAAACTGGAATCTGTTTTGGCTGGTCCACACCAAGTCTGAATAATGTTTCCTTGGGGGTGGGGGGCAAAATTGACTTTTATATGCAGACTCCAAATAAAACTATTTTCCTCCCTTTGTGTCACGCATTCAATGAGCAAAGAAAGGCTATCAAAATACACTGATGACGTGAATCTTGGTCTGGTCCGCCTCGCGGGTGGTGTGAAAAAAAATTATTTTTTTGGCTAACCTGCATCATTTAGTATTGGGCAGGTTCGAAACCTAACCACTAAGTTCTCAAATAACTTCCACTTCATCAGCTTCTGATGTCTTAACACTTCCTGTGACTTTTAACATGTTCAATTTGACCAATATTCTGACCAAACATGTATCTTTATGTCGACTGGATGAGGAGAAGTCAGCCTTTCCTTAAACCCCTGGCAAGGCTATTTGAATACAGGAACATAAACCTTTCACCTTGAACTTTCTAACGACCTACCCTGCTTGGAGCAGAGGAGAGACAGCTGCAAAGATGGTATGCCCCATGTGTGGGAGGCTGCTCCTCAAGGACTGCGGGGAAAAATCAAGTTCAAAAAAGAATTTTGAGTTTCAGAACCTTTGAACCGCACATTTCAAGGGAAAGTATTTTCTGATAAGGATCTAGTTACCTTCTTTTCTCTAAGAAGCATCTTCTCTAAAAGTTTGCCTGAATTGCCTCACTCTAAAGCGGCCTCAGACTTCAGCTTTTCATTTACTTTACTATGTGGCCCTGTTTGGGCAATTATACTTCGAAGGAACTTCCGCCAGAACTGGGCTTGACTCTCTCTGGTGCAAACATCCGAACGCAGTTAAAATGGTATGAGGCACAAAATGCAATAACGGGAAACAAACAAAAAGCACTATGAGGGAATGAAGGGTTGGGAAGATTCTAGAAGGTGACATGAGATAACCTGCTGGAATGATGACAAATAAATGGATCTGTGCAGTTTTGGTTTTTGTTTTCTGTGTAGCAAAAGAGAGGTGGAATGAATCTGCAGAAAGCTGCCACTGGGCTGAGTTCAGTAGTGTCACTCAATGAGTGCTGGTTTGCCTGTCATGGGGCCAAAGCCTTCCGTTCTCAGCTCCACAACTAAGTTGGTTAGTTAGCTTGAGGTCCCCCACACTGGGGATTCAGACACATTACAGCACTGAAATGGGCCACTGCTACAAGCCAGGGCTGCTTCTTCCTAGAGAGTTGGCTGCCCAGCCCACCGTGAAATAGGTCAATATTGTGGTATGACTTGATGTAAATACAATCTGGAAAAGCGAGCAAGAAAGGAAGCCAGTCAACCAGATGGATGGGAAAAGGAAAAGGGGGAAGGTAATGACAGGAAGAGAAGGTCATGACAGACTATACAAGGACAGTGCTGACAGACAGATTTTATCTGATCTAGATGAATTTCTCCCATGTGTATCTGTAGCTCTGTGACACTCACCACAGTCAAGAAGCTGCCGTAACTCTGCAGGGTTGCTGGAGCCCGCTGTCCTGTACAGAGTCATACATTCCAGACCTAGGGCACAAAACAGATTGTAAATGCAAGACTCAGCTCTCCGGAGAATCTGGGCGCCTGCTGCCAGGAGACGCTTCAGTTTCCACCCACTATCTGTTCTAGAGGTGCTCTGAATATTCTTGGAAGTCAACTCCTACTATTCATCTTGTCCAGCATGTCAATAATTTTGGCAGAACCAGCTGGGTGCTAAGGACCAAGATAATCATATTTATTAAATGATGGAGACTTAATAGTTTCCATACAGTAACAACACGTTAATCTTGAAATAGAAAGCACTGCCCAGGATTATTTCTGAGTACAGAAACCAAAAGATCTGGCATGTCTAACCCAGTATCTGCACAGAGCAGGGAGTAAGAAATTGATTTAAAGAATGCCCCAGAGATACACATAAATTATAACAGCCACGAGATAAGGGCCTAAGGATAAATTGACTCCCTTTAGCAGTCTGGTTACCTTTCTTTTCAATGGCTTCCACCAGCTTGATAAGGAGAGGCGGGGCAATGTCAGGAGGTGCAAATTGCTCTGCCAGATCCGGAAGGGCTGAAGCTGCAAACAAACAAAATGCCTGCATTACATTTCATGTTGGAGAGTCAAATGCCATGGACCACAATGAAGAATATTCTAATACCAAATGATTTCATTACATCTGACCCTAGCAGACACAAGAACTGAGCACGAAGGACTCCTACACCAGGCTGCATGTTCTTGAGCCAAGGGAACACACCTGCTTCCTTTCCTGTAGGACATCCTCGCTCAGGACGCCTACCCGGAATCCTTGGTCTCCCTCTCAAGGGGCCTCTTAGCCTGTCTTCAGGGTAGCCTTCTTTGTCTGGATATACCCTCTACCCCAGTGGTGGGCTAAGCCCGGCCAGGAGGGGATCGGGTAGGACTGGAGTTTGGGGGTGCAGACTGAAGCCACAGGTGAACAGGGCCAAGCTCCCAGTTCACAGTGCTCTGGGGCAGCACTCCAAGAAGCCCAAGAAACAGGAGCTCAGCTCTGGCCTGGTGGAATTAGAAAAACACCACTGCCCGGGGAGAAGGAAGCACAGAGCAGATTTTGGTGAATAGTCTGTTAACATAACACGTAGCCAACTTGTTTAGTTTTGGGGTTCTCGCCCTCCTTTGTGCTCTGGTCCCACAAAGGCCAGGGTGACTATCCACTGGACAGCAAATTAAGTCCCTGTGTAACTGTGAGTGAACCTTTTATTTGCTTTGTCCATATTTTGGATAGCACATTAAGGAACACAAGGCTTCCATGAGTGTGTTTCCATGCTTTATTTGTATGTTTTACCAATTGTAATGACACAAAAAGAAATCTAACTGGGTGGTATTTACAAACCACTTCCTCTGATGTTATGACTGACAACCATATTCCTGCTCCCCAAAAGAAGTTTAAGTAAAAACATTTTTCTCAAAATATGCCAGAAGAGGGAGCTAAATATATTCAATATAGCTACAGTCTTATTTCACTAAGATTTTGATAGTATAGTTCATTATAAGCCATATACCATGTTAGATGAATTTTTAATTAAGTTCAGATTACAAGTACTAAGAGTCAACATAGAACAAAAGGTTTAAGATGCAAACATAAATTTATACTATTAAATTCTGACTTCAGAGAACTATGTGTAACTTAACTCATTTTGCAAACCTTAAACTCTCCATTCTAAGGTGCCAGAGACTGCAGTATGTCCTGCAATAGATGGACACGTGGTTAGCCCCACAACTTCCCAGGATAAAAGGAGAAGAGCTAAATTATGGGGGGAAATTCCACAGCACCATATAGATTTTCTTCAATGATTCCCCTGAAAACATCCAGCAACGACATCTGTCTCTAAGTGTTAGAAACTATTAAGGTATCTGAAAACCATTCAATATATACATGTGTTAAATGTCATAATCTTTAATTAAAAGGACTATAAAATTTTTAAAAAATACTATAAAATGACAAAGCACACTCTTTCATTTCCTCTGACAAACTGCAAACCACTTCCCTTGGCCCCCGTATGTTTTTTAAAGGCTCACACAAGTATCTTCTCCTACAAATACCTTCTATACTGAACAAAATGCATATACTCCATCAGCATATGCAAAAGAAGGGAACTTCACAGACAGGGAAAGGTAGAGAGTGATTTAACTCATTAGCATTCACGGCAGCATCTCTCCTTAGTCCTCTTAGCCACATAGGTCTTTGCATACCATGAACTCAAAAAAACTAAAGATTAAATAGTAAACACACAGACACCCCCCCCACACACACACACACACAAAACACCAACTAACACGTCAACTGTTTTTCCCTTTCCATCAGAAATAAGACTTTCTTGAAAATTAAAAAACTTCAGCGCCAGCACTGGCAATAAAATTGCTTAATAGATGTTTATCTCCTCCCAGGATCTTATCAACATGATCACTTCTACAGGCAAATATGAAAGTTAAATTAAATGATTATTAAAAATTTCATCTAACTGTGAGTGAAATATGCACCCAACTGTTGTTATACTGCTAGGCGGACAAATGCTACATATGAAAGGGTTTCCGTCTCTCTTCGCTTGATTGAAAAAAACGGAATTGTAAGGCAGAACTATCAAGCCAGATGCAAACTAACAGAGCAGGATTCGTCTACAGTATACACGTTAACCTTCTGTAGCCTTTTTAATGCCTGCGTCTGGAGAACGAAGTCTATGCTTAAGAATCTGGGAGAATTTGTAGACTCCACTACTACAGCTTCCATTTTTCCCTTCACTGAATCAGTTTTCATCAAAAGAAATCAGAATTGCATAAGAAATGAGTAAGAACAGCCAAGAGGTCTAAAGGCAGAGAATCTGCGACACATTACTTCAAAAGAAAGGAGGAATTAGTCCTCTTCATTACTGACAAGGGTACCACGGAGCCAGGTGTCCCAGTTTCCTATAGAATTTTTGATGACACATAAGAGGCTACATTTTCCACTCATTCTGTCCTCACCCCCGTTCCCCAGGTTGGCAGCCAATCACACAGAACAGGAGAGAGCCTTCTGTCCAAATGTAAGCCCTCCCCAAACAACCCGTGTGGACAGGCCTCAACAGTCCTGAGACACCGGCGGCGTGGGTGATGGTGGCATCCTTCGCACCAAGTGGCGCCAACACCACTGCATGGTGCAAGATGAAACCAGCACACAGCTGCACCTTTTGGAGGCGTTCTCCGTAAAACAAAGGTATTTTAAAGTTAGTGCTTGGCAGGCTGAATGGAAAGTTTAAGCTGAAATACCAGGAATCCAGAGAATGCCAAAGTGGAGCATTTCATTATTGATGGAAACAGCTTAAAAGTGTGTGAAAAACTGCCACTGACCTCCAAAATGTAACACCAGCTACACTCAAGAAGATGCGCGTGCCAATGTGGAGAACTATTAAACCGCGACGTCAAACTTTCTGTCAGAAACAATTCTTCTTGTGGCTTTAAAATAAATGTGTGCACATTCTGGTAAGCAAAAGTTCTGATTTTTTTTTTCTTTAAAAAACCTTATACTTTATACCTATAATAGTTAGGACCTGGAACTTAAACTTCTTGAATTGTGTGGGCTCTACCCCAGTAAACACTGGCCTGTCTCTTTAGCTAAGAGACCAAAAGCAAAAAACAAACTGTAGGTTCCTTAATTTTGATACTTATTGAATTAGTAGCACAGAAATGACCAGAAGCACCAATATACAGCCAGAGTTCTGTTTCTAAGCCTAGCTTCACCTCTTCTTAAACATGTATTCTTGGACAAGTTATCTAATCTGGACCCAATTTTTCATTTGTGAAGTGGAAATAATTACATAAGAATTAAGTGAATAATATAAACCAGTTCAGTAGGTGTGACATGAGTTAGCAGAAAACACAATTTAAAAATAGCATTGTTTATGTAACATTAACAGATTTTTGAAAAACTCACCACAATGGCAAATTTTATCACCAAAAAATATCATGAATGTTCTCTACACTTCTTAAAGGTGGCAAGCTAGATGACATTTAGTAAGCATTAGTGTCCTGCTTTTGATCTTACGAACAATACTATCTCTTAAGAGGTCATCCCAAGTATCTTATTAGAAGGACTACAATATGAGTTATTCAAATTGTTTTCTGAATGTCAAGAAAAAATAAAGATTGAGATTGAGAATGATTGAGAAACAAACTGCATTAAACTTGGCAGAAATAACTTAGTTTGAAAGGTGGGGAAAGAGTATGGGCTCCTGAGAATGGGAGCACAAAGAATAGATATGAAAGTAAATCTTCAGCCATCACTGCATTATTTTTAGAGATAACTAGTAGGAGGGAATTTATTAATAAAGCTGCCAACAGATCTTTCTTCCTTTCCCCTCCCCCCTTTTCTATATATACACTTTGAAGATAACAATATGGATGTAATATGATAACCACTATTAATTTCCTATCATCTTATTTTGAAATTCTGTATCATTTTTATAGTTTTTTGTTATCTTAAAAAAAGTCTGGGGCTGGTGAGATGGCTCAGTGGTCTAAAGCACCTACTTAGAACAAGCTTAGCAAAGCACAGGGACCGCGGTTCAATCCCCCAGCACCACATGCCAGCCAGCCCTGCCCCCTGGTGGGCTGAGCTGGCCACACACACACACACACACACACACACACACAAATAAGTTAATTAATTAATTAATTAATTTTAAAAAAAAAGTCTGAGGGCCGGCCAGATAGCTCAGTGGACTAAAGTGCCTACTTAGGCAGAGCACAGCTGCCGGGGTTCAATCCTCAGCTTGCTATGCCAGCCCCACCCCCAGGGTGCTGAGACAGTGATGAGACTGGGCGTGGTGGCGCGCACCTGCAACCCCAGCACTTGGGAGGCTGAAAACAGGATCACTACTAAGTCTGTAGACCCTGTATTAAATACATTAAGGAAAAAAAAAAGCACTCTGCAAGTCTTCCCAGATACCCTAAACTAATTAGTCTTTAATATCTGAAGTTTCTCTTCTCCCACTTACTTCTTCTGTTGTGCAACTTAAAAACAAATGACAGGGATGTGAGATTCTCGGCCCGTTTAACTTTTTTTTAAGACAACAGATTGGCATCCGAAAGAAACAGCAGGCGAAGATCTTACTAATCACAAGCGGGCATTAGCTGCGGTGGCCCTAGCTAAAGCCTCTGAGTGAGGAGATCACTGAAACGCGAGATTACACCTAACAGGCTGCCTAATTAACTGTGATTCTTATCATGCAAATTGGAGTCTGATTTAAAGATGACAACTTACAGTGTAGGGCAAATTAAAATGCCGGGCAGGAGGTAAATGAGGAAGAAAGGGGACTCTCCTTGCCTGGAAAATAATTTAGAGTCCTGTCTGAGAGACTTCAGAGGCCAGGGATTTGCAAGGGATGCTGCTCTTCTGGTGTTGGCTTAAAAAGGTTTCACACGAAGAGTGACCCAGATGGTTCAAAAAAAACCAAATGGTCCAAAAAAGAAAAGTGTCCACTTGTGCTGAGCAAAAGGATGAGTATTACTGAACGCTTGCTAGGATCGCATCTTCACTGTTTTACAGACACGCTCTTCCTTAGTTC